TCTAGAGTGCAGTTCTGGCATGCACACAGCAACCCTTTAATTCTTTGATAAGCAGTCCTTGAGCCTGGCTGCCATTGTACGAGAGGCATGCAAGTGTGCCCGAACATCTAGGTCTGTTTTGCTGGTGTGAGTAATACGATTTCAGTAATACAGTACATCTTCTTGAATGCCGAGCATTGTAACTCAAGTATAATGCCTGCAATCTATTCCTGAAACAGTAGTTGCACTTTCTGCAGGCTCCAGATTTGTGGTTATAAGAGAGCAGCAGATCTATACCCTGGCTAAACAACCAATATGTAGATTCTTCTTAGTTTGAGCTAGCATTGATTGTGACTGAGACAGCAATCTATACCTCCACCTACTGGTGCACTAAAGAATTGTGACTAGGACTTCAGCTTTATTTAAGTTTTCAAAGTGGTGCAAGTATAACAGACAAGAAACAAAGCAAAGCGACAACTAAAATAAAATAAAATCAAATGTGGTGCTTTAAAGACTAAAGGCTATATTTTAATGTGAGCTTTCATGGACCAGTTCCACTTCCTTAGACACAAGAGTGAGACTATATGGTAATCACTTGTATATGGACTCCCGATATTTATTGATTCATTTATTTATTTAAAATAGTTTTTAGCCTACCTTTCTCCTTAAGGACTGAAGGTGGCTTACCTCATTAAAAACAATATTGAAAGCTAAAAACAAATATAATAATATTAAAAAAGAATCAAGTAAATATCACAGGAAAAAGTCAAAGCAGTGAGGCATGACTATTTAAAAACCTCACTCAGGCAGCTAGTTGTTAAGGGGAAGTTTGGTTGAAGAGAGAGGCCTTTGCCTGCTTGAACAAGGACAACTAAGATGTGGCTAGCCTGGCCCCCTGTGGAAAGGAGTTCCAAAGTCTGGGAGCAGCGATCGAGAAGGCTCTTTCTCTCATGCCCCCACCAAGCACACGTATGAGGGTGGTGGGACCCAGAGAAATGACTCTCCTGATCTTAACACCTGGGCAGGCTCATAAGGAAAGACACACAGTCCTTGAGATATCTTGGACTCAGGCCATTTAGGGTTTTATCAGTTAGAACTAGCACTTCGAATTATGGTTGGAAATGGATTGGCAGCCAGTGGCGCTGTTGTAACAGGGGGGTATTTGGTCCCTGGAACCAGCCTGGGTTAGCAATCTGGCAACCACATTTTGGACCTGCTGAAGTTTCTGAACACTTTCCTGAAGCAGTTCCATTTACAGTGCATTACAGGAATTCAGTCAAGATGTAATTTCGGCATTAGTCACCATGGCCAGGTCAGACCTCTCCAGAAACAGGCACAGCTGGCATGCCAGTTTTAATTGTGCAGAGACACTCCTGGCTACTGCCAAAACCCAGGCAGCAAGGCTCAGAGACAAATACAGGAGCACCCCCAAGCTGTGCACCAATCCTTTTTTTTAGAGGCAGTGCATTCCCATCCAGCATAAGCTGCATCCTGGTTTCTTGATCTGCTTTTTGACTGACCAGGAACCTCTCTCTTGTCTGGATTAAGTTTCTGTTTATTCACCCTCATCCAGTCCATTACTGACAATAGACACTGATCCAGAGCCAAAACAGGACAAAGTGACAATGGCTGGTTAGCATAGTATAGGACTGTTGTTTGCATTTAGCAAGGACGTCGAAGTCTGTTTGTATCTGGGCAAATCTCTTCATGAGGTTGACGGATCTCCACTTTATTTGGCTGAATCAAGTGCATTTCATAGTTGTAGCTTTCGAAGCAGTAGCTGTGTTAGTCTGAGCAAGCATATCAGACAAGAAACAGAACACAACAAGAACAAAATGAACAAAAGCAAAAAGACAAAAACGTTGTGACACCTAAAAGACTAACTGCTATATTTTAAGGTTATACTTCCACTGAACTGAGTTGATGTTATGTGTTATGGCAAAAATATATTAAAAATACAGCAAGCATGTGGACTTTCTTTTCTGGACCACACAGGTAGTTTACACTTTGAAATCTCGCTTTTCACTTCTGTGTTAGGCACGTCCATCTTCTTTTACCTCAGTGCAACACTAGGGGTCTCTGCGTAGACGCAGTGTAATAGGCCACCACTCCTCCTCACACCAGAGTAGTTCAGATATGCCTATCTACTGCCTTTTTAGTTGGATTTATTTTCACAGTTGTGTTATAATGTGTAACACTGTGTTGTTCTATTAGAAATAAATAGATTTATTTATTAAATTGTGTCAACATTTAGGACATAAGCCAGCATCTTTTAAAAAAATCGCATATAAATCTGTGGCTAAATATTTACACCTTATGACTGAGGAGGTAGATTGCCAACCCTAAACGTTCACACAGAAATGTATCTGTTAGGATACTACTGTCAAGGCACCACAATACTTTTCTTATTTGTATTTTAGTTTTGTTACCTGTAACTCATCCCAAAAAAGTTGTGACTATCTTGCAGTCAATAGGTTAGAAATTAATTCTGAGAAGATTATTCAGTTATTTCTATATGTGTATAAGCCTTCTAGAAGAGGAGGGGCATTTTAGACATGCCTGCTCTTATATTTGAAGGGTGATAAGTCTGAAGAGGGAGTGCTCCACCACCTACGGGGCTGTCTGGATGAGTTGGGATCCTGGCAAATCTAAAACCTGAAAAACATTGAATGTCCATAAATAGCAGACAATCTCTGCTCCAGATTTGTCACCCACCCTGTGTAGGAGAGTGATGAAATCACATGTGAAAGTGCACAGAAATACACTCCCCAATCTTCACATAAACTTTAAATCATGGTTGAAAATGGAATGGGGCTAAAGTCTCATGCCATTGTTTTCAATAAAATGACTAACTTTTTTCTGGGTGCTTTATCCTCAGGAAAAATAAGCAAGATGCAATCTTATATGTCTATCTCTGTTTGTTTGTTTGTTTGTTTGTTTCCCTCAGGAAAAATAAGCAACATGAAATCTTTTATGTCTATCTCTGTTTGTTTGTTTTTGTTATTCCCATCTCCAGTGAGCAATAGTAGTAACAGCAGCAACAATAATAATATCATTGTAGAGCTGGAAGGGACCCCAACTGTCCCATCTCCACTGAGCAATAGTAATAAATAATGATAGCATTGTAGAGCTGGAAGGGACCCCAACTGTTACCAACCTCTATTCCCTGACAAAATGCTAAAACATCTCTGACAAATGGCCCTTTGTTTTAAAACCTTCTATGAAAGAGAGTCTGCCAGCTTCCCGGGTAGTTCATCCAATTTTGACCATTTCTTACTGTCAGGAAGTTCTTCCCGATATTGAGGTGAAAACTCCTTTCTCATAATGTGAATCCATTATTTTGGGTCACAGAAATCAAGCTGCTTCATCTTCCACATGATAGCACTTCAAATATTTGAAGATGGCTATCATTTGGCTTCTCAGTCTCCTCTTCTTCAGCTAAGAATGGCTAGCTTTTGACCAAAAGAGAACAGACAGGTACTGTTACTTCTCTTGGTCTTAGCAAGCTGCAAGATAAATGTGAGTTAACTCTATGATGCAGCAGCTAAAATCTAGTATTTGCTTTTCTTGTTACTGCACCATGCTATTGTGGTCTGCTGAGACCCTTATATTTTTTTCATACATACTGCTTCCAAGCCAGGAATCACACATTTTGTTTGCTACCTGACTCTTCCTTCCTAAATATAGAACTTTACATTTCTCTCTTTGAAACTCATTTTGTCCATTTTGGCCTTGTTCTCCAATCTGTTAAGATAATCTTGAATGCTAATTTAGCTTTCTGAATCCTTAACTACCCTGCCTTACCTCCAGCCTTGTGTCATTTGCAGATTTGGTCTGCATTTGCTCTAATCATCCATCCAAGTAATTTATGAAGATATTAAACAACAACAATGGGCCCAAGATAGCACTCTTTGGCATTCCTCATACCACTTCACTTCAGGATAACAAGAGACCATCTTTGGGCATGGCGTGTCAAGTTACAAACCTACCAATTTGGCCACAACAATATCCTAAGGAAACTTGTCAAAAACTTTGTTGAAATCGAGATAAATCTACAGCATTCCCAGATCTTATTGGTCTGTGGTTCTATTAAAAAGAAAAGAGACTTGTACTTTGTCTGGCATAACTTTTTAAGAAACATCTGTGCTAAACTTGAGGCATACAATCCAGCCAAGCAGCAGCTGCAAGAGAAATCAGTTGTTATAGAAGAAAATTTTACACTGGCTTGTTTCTTTATCCTTCTGAGTGCAATCGAATCATTCTGTGTATCTGCTTAATAGATTAAGAGCCTCTGGTGAATGTCTGAAATCCAAACTGCATTGGTGCAAGAGACTTGGTTGAATCTCTGTTAATAGCATATCCACATATGGATAAAATGAATTCCATGGCTAGATGGATGAAAACAAATCCATGCCTGAGAAAATGATGGTTAGGATTATGCTTCCTCTGCCATGTCTGAAATAAGTGCTTGAACATAATGCAAGAGCCCTCTTGTGTTCTGCTAAAATGAATGGTTCTACTGCAGAGATCCGTAGATGCTGCAGCTTCACTTTTACTGTTTTAGACTGCATGACATACCACAGGAATGCAATGGATAATACACATTTATCAGCTCTAGCTCCTCACCATATTGTGATAAGACAGACATTCTTTTATGAATCTTTATTTCAACAGAATTTTCATGTTTTTCCAGCATTTTCATCTTTGTCTCAAATGAAAACACATCTCCTTCATGAACAATGAAAATACATTTGACATAGCATCACCAAAATGGTAGTCACAGAGAATTCATAGAAAGGAGGACAACGAAAAGAAAAGAACTTTATGCACAGGGCCTGCTGTGCACAACCACAATCAAATTCCTTCACAATAACTGGATGATAGGGCTTAGCAGATAAGCAGAAGAACCAAAGAAAAACAAGCATATATATAGTATATATACTTGTTTTTCTCTGGATTCTTCTGCTTATCTGCTAAGCCCTATCATCCAGTAATTAAACATATATATAGTTTATGTGTATGTGTGTGTGTGTGTATTAATAACTTTTATATATAACTTTATATATGTATATAAAGTTGCAAGAACTATTATGTAGCAGATATTGGGTGATGATTTGTGTTCTTTACCATGTCATGTTAAAATAATAAAAAGAAGAGTAACTTTATCATACAGGGAAAAGATCAAAATCCTGCCTGTTGCAGTTTGCTTAATTTTATAAAACAAACTATTACCATCAGGATCTTTAGTGTATTCTTACATATTTCAAAAAGCACATATTTCATACAATTTGTCATTATTTTAACCTCTCCATTCATATATTCTGTGGTTAGACATATGGATGAGTAGTTACTTTGATGAACATTGCAGAGACAGAACATCATTAGTTTGATGTTGTTGGTGATAGCCCAACAAAAATACAGCCCACTTGGACAAGAGCCCCCTTCATCCAAACCAAAAGCCCTGAACATATGTATGGGTGCACATCCAGATGTGAGTATGGATATATTTTCCATAAATTGAAAGTAAAAGATAAAGAAATACATTTACTAGAGGAATTTGTTGTTGTTTGCCCAAGTGTCATTTAAATGATCAGTAAGAAAAATGTGTTCATCGTACAAAAGTACTTGCATCTGCATAGGCTGTAGAATCCATGTCATAATAATCCTCTAGTCTCCACTGCAAAGTTTCAAAGGTTGGTCGTTCTTTAGGCTCAGCATTCCAGCATTGTAGCATTATGTTGTACAGCTCCTGAGGGCAGTTAGCTGGTTGAGGAATCCTGTATCCTTGATCCAGCTTTTGGAGTACTTGAAAACCCATCAAACCTATAATATAGTTTTAAAAGGTAGATTACTCAAAACGCTTGTCAAGGGAGAAGCCATTATTCTTTCAAACAAAGGAAGCTCTCTTCTAGTTCTGTAAGTATGGTCCTTCATTTGTGCATTCCCTTGTATAAGGTGCCACTTAAATTTCTCAGTAAATATTTTATTTATGGCAAGTTGGCTCAGAAATGATAGAAAAGCTACAATGGTGCCAGTTAAGCAAATCTCCAGAGTGTACTCATTAGGTTTCTGCTAGGCCAGTCCATGATGTTTGGCTGCCTTACATCAATGGGTAAAGTACACTACCCATTCCAGGTACAAAGGCCAAGCAGATTGCCAACTGAATTTAAAATGGGAGATAAGAGATTGCCCTCCAGCATAGCTGATGGCATCAGACCTGTTCAGTGGATGTAGGGCAGGCTGTGTGACACCCATGGCTCTCTTCTTCTATACACCCACCCATCATCAGTGGCCGGAGGGTGACACCTCTCTCTACCTGATGGTAGGGCCAGCCCATGCTGCTTCTAGCCAATCTGTGATTATTAGGTTTCAAATCACAAAAATGTACATAATCTGGGAGGGTTCCCCCCCCCCCAGATGCAGAAGTTCACACCACTGTCAGCCTGTCCAAGCAACTGAGGTGGGGTGGGGTGGGGAAGACATAATGAAGAAAATGTGTTGAAAATATTATTTTCAAACGAAGCTCTCACCCGCATAAGGCATCTTTCCATATGTAATTATTTCAAAAAGGAGTATTCCAAATGACCAGACATCAGATTTTATGCTAAATTTATTCAGGCGGATTGCTTCAGGAGCTGTCCATTTCACAGGTAGCTTTGTTTCATGTTTGGCTTCATATACATTTTCATTTTCTAGCTGTTAAATCCAAAGGAAGAGACAATGCCACAACATAAAAAAATGAATTTATGCAATTAGATTGCTTCAGGAGCAAACTATATCACAGGATTTTTTAAAAAATGCTTGAGAACATCTTTGCTTTGTAGCTACATCATAGCAGGCAAACTACTTCAGTGAGAGTTTCAAATGGATTCAGGTTTTCAAGCTTTGTAAGAAAAGGGCTACTAGCCATGTAATTATTTCCAAGAACTAGCACTGAAGCACTGCCAGTGAAGCAACAAGCTCAGGGATTGGGAGCCTTTTGGTCCTTCAGAAAGTTTGGCCTACAGTTTTCATCAACTGCATCCAGCATGGCCAATGGTAATGCATTATGGGAGCTGGAGGCCAAAACATTATTGCTTAGTGCTAGCAATAAGTGCCAGGTGAACTGGTACTTAGTTGCTATTGCCAGCACTAGTTTAACTATGTTTCCCTCTCCTCACAGCAAAGGAGTAAACCTAATTTTGCATAACCTCTGGAAAGGAAAACCAAGAACAAGGGAGGGCTTAGAAAAAAAGGAATTGACCATGGCACAGAAAGGATGGAAGGGAATATGAGACAATCACCACTCTCATGTCAATAGCAACAGAAACTTTCATGAACGTGAAATATATGATCTATGTTTATAGACAAAAACCCCACATTATTCAGCAGTAAGAAACAAGGTCACACAGGACATTAAGGGGAGCGTGTGCTCCCTATGATTAACATGTTTTCCCTCCCAAAATACGATTTCTTTTCTAGATATATAGGCGTCAGCACTAAGACATGTGAATTAAAGACAAGTTTACATTTCTATGATAAATTAGAAAGTAAAGTATGCCAATGGCAAGATGCAGAAGGGAAAAAACTCATCTGAAATGACAAACATGGGCTTTCCATTACATGTCGCAATCCATGGGGGAAAGGGTGGGATTTTTTTTTCCTTTTGTTAACATCTTTCTGTTTAAGTTCTTTTATTTATTTATTGTTTTTAGAAAATTATTATATGCTGGGAGTAGCAATTAGCGACTAGTTTGACTACAGTGGTCAGCAGTATATGGCAATATGCAGCATGTAGGGTTGGAGGTGAGCAGAGAAGGATTTTGGAAAATGAGAGATCTCTTTAGGATAGAAGGAAATGGCAACAAATTGAGCAACTGGGAGTTTGGAAAGATGGAAAGATACTAAGATGAAATAGGCCCAGCACTGACATGTAACAACAGTGACAGTAGTACTAAAGGCTTTTTTTTTTTTTTTGGCTCCTCAGTTCCTATGTTAAGTGAAATTATGGGAGTTCAGGGAAGGAAAAAATTATTATACGCAGGGAGTAGAGGAGTCCCACCCCTTCCCTGCAGCCCCCTTCTTGACCATTCTACACAAATTTTATTTATTTGTATTCGGCAAGGCTTTCACGGCCAGGATCTAATGGTTGCTGTGGGTTTTTCGGGTTCTTTGGGCGTGTTCTGAAAGTTGTTCTTCCTAACGTTTCACCAGTCTCTGTGGCCGGCATCTTCAGAGGACAGGAGTAGCACGCTGTGCTCTGGTGCAGTTAGTTAGAGAGTAACTTTTTTTGGAACCCGAAAAATCCACAGCAACCATTTTATTTATTTGTTTGTTTGTTTTATTTACAGGCTGCCTTTCTCCCAAGGAGGGAAACCAACTTCTAGAGCAGTGGTTCCCAACCTTGAGTAATCCAGGTGTTCTTGGACTGCAACTCCCAGAAACGCCGGCCAACACAGCTGGTGATGAAGGCTTCAGGGAACTGCAGTCCAAGAATACCTGGGTTACCCAAAGTTAGGAACCACTAATCTGGATGATTTTAGGTCATCTGAAAAAAGTGGAGTGTGGCACAGAAGATTGTTAGGAAAAGAGTTGATAATTTTCCTTCCATGAACTTCTTTTACCATAAATTCCGATATCTCTCCAATGGTCAATGTAGTCAGCTATACAGGGTGGGGAAAATGTTGGGAGTTTTTCCTTTTGTGACCCCCTTTATGTTTGCTTAAGTTCTTTTTTTACTATTTTTACAAAGTTATTATATGCTGGGGGCCTACGAATAAAACAGATTTTAAACGTGATGATGACGATGAGAACAATGATGACAATGGAGATGAAACTGTTTGTTGTTAACCAATACCTTGGAATCGGTGGAATTTTAAAGATATGCTTTGCCAAGTACAGCCAGGCTGATGGAATCTGATCAATTATTCCATGGCTTAATTTTGTCCAGTATGCAAACAGCATTGAAATGCTGATGATTAATTGGCGGCTAACATCATGAACCCAGAATCTGGCAATGACACCAGTGCAAGTCTCCTGTCGGCAGCAGAGGCACAGAACCTGTGTCTGTCTGGTCTTCAGGAAGAAGACAAGGTGACAGCAAGAGCTAATGCATTCAGAACCCTTTGTTTTGTGATTAATTGCTGGCACCATAGGATCATTGACTTTCATAATCATCACTTAAACAGTTCCAAGACTAAAAATGCAGACTCCAAGAGATCTAAATTAATATACTGGTTCAAAGTGGCACCAATTAATTTAGGCAAAATAAGCTGACAGACATTGGAGAATAAATGAAGAATTATTTACTAGTAATGGAGGTTTTCTGAGTTTAGTCTGCTTCTATCCTCAGACCTACTGTCTCTGTTTTTATTGCCCATTTTTTTAACCTTTTGGAAATACCATACAATGTTTCTGTGCTTTTAAATGAAATATGTAGATACATTCATAGCAAGACTTCTGTAATTCTATAGACTGGCTTATTTTAAAATATTCTGAATATCAATTTACTTTCTAAATTTAGAGTTTCCTAAATATATTATATCTATTACTTGACTGAAAAAGTTCTATGCTTCTTTAAAGAATACACTACATATCTTTTCCATAATCCCAGATCCTTTAAATGCTCCTTGCTGAAGCTATGACTTCAGAAATAATCAAAATCTGCCCCTGCGGGCTTCATAAACAGAATATAATGGTGATGGTGATGACCAGCTACGGTTCTTTATCAACATAATGAGGTGCTCCAACGTATACTGCCTCCAAATATGGGTGTCCCATTCTTAGGTACTGTGCTTAATAGACCTTGTCTAGAGATAAAAAAAGAAATTCACATCCAGTTTGCTGACTGCCATATTATTACGAGACAAACCCACACGTATCTCTTTCCATTTCTTATCTTCAGGGTAAACTGCAATTGCCAGATTCTTTTGTTTTTATTTTCTGAATTACAACCATGCACATGATCACAACTAAATTGTGTGTATTTTTAAACAATGCACAAATGTGGTTTAAGTAATAGGGAAACATTGTGAAAAATGGGTAGGAAATGCATATGTTAGGAAGGTGCCTAAAAAAACGTATGTGCATTTCCATATAGGAAAGTGGGAGAAAGACTGATAATGCAATACAGAACTTGGAAAAGATAAGAAAATTGGCAGGGTTCTGAGAAATTAAAACCCAGCAGATTTTTCATTCCTAATCTGATTATACTTTAGGGCAAGGATGGGCAATTTTGTGGGATTTTCCCTCTAACCACCCTATTCTGCTGGGTATTGGAGTACAACAAAATCTGGACAACCACCAATCAACAGCTGTCCAATCACCCACCAATGCCAGAATAAGTATTTTGCTAAGTGACTAGGCTTTGCCTTACGTGATAAATTTCCATCCCAATGAACGTAATAGACCTAGTTATGCTCAGAAAAAGGTTTAAAGAAACATACTACCTTAAAGACTCGTGCAAGTCCAAAATCTGCCACTTTGTAAACATTGTGATCACCAACAAGGACATTTCTTGCTGCCAAATCCCGGTGGATGTAGTTCTGAGATTCAAGGTAAGCCATTCCGGAAGCAACCTGCGCTGCCATGTCCACCTGTTGTTGCAAATGGATCCGGGAACCTCCATCATCTATAAGTAAGTAAGTAAGTAAGTAAGTAAGTAAGTAAGTAAGTAAGTAAGTAAGTAAGTAAGTAAGTAAGTAAGTAAGTAAGTAAGTAAGTAAGTAAAGAAAGAAAGAAAGAAAGAAAGAAAGAAAGATAAAGGCACTAATAGAAATCCTGCTCCTTCACATCCAGTTCCCCCTCATCTAACAGGCAATGATAGCACATTTGTAAAGAAAACCAAGTCAATAATGAAAACCATAAACCAAGGAGTGATTCAGAGCAGGAGTGATTCAACATGTGGTGAACAACAATCAATATTGGACACATGATATATCTCAGGAAGTGGGCTGGACTCAATGATCCATAGGGGTCCTTCCAGCTCTGCAATTCTAAGATGATAATGATGATGACAGACCATAACTACTATCTGTTTGGAAACTATTCACACATTTTTTTCAGATTATTTGCATTACAAAAATCCATGTAATATATTGAAACTTACAGTGGACACATGATCTGGTGGAAACAGGCCTACAAATAATAAATCAAAATGCAGATTAATCTGGGGTCATTTGTACAAGGATGCTTTGTGTCTTCATTTGCCTTGTCTGTAGGTTAAATGTCACTAATGAAAAAACACCCATTCATATCTAGTGACTGGCACATGCTAGTTAGTCATATTTCAAGCCAAAATGGTAAGACTATAATCCTGTGGCAAAGAGTTTAAACTGTAGTACTGCAGTCAATTCTCTGTTCATGACCTGAGTTTCATCCTGACAGATTGAGGTAATCAGCTCAGGGTTGATTCAGCTTTTCATTCAAGGTCAGTAAAATGAGTTCCCAGCTCACTGGTGGGCAAAGTATTGTTGCATAATTATATTGTAAACCATGCAGAGAGTGATCTGGCCCTATGGGATGGTATGTAAGTCAAAACAACAACAACAACACTGTGATCCTAATTACGTCTGCCTCGAATTCAGTTCCACTGAGCTCACTGAGACTTAGATCATGATGTAAGAGTGCAGCCCAAGACCATGTCCTAAATCAAGAGGGGGCACACAGCTGACAGAACTGTTTCTAAAAGTAAAATCAACAAGGTGATGATTTCCTCCAGCCCAGTGCAGGCCCACATGCACCCCCAAATGCTCTGGAGACAGGTTTTTTTTTGTTTGTTTTTTTTAGGAGCATGGAGTCTTAGAGGAGAAATAAGAGAATTTTTTGATGTTGGACCAAGGTCAGTCTTGGGACCACTTGCTACAGCTACTAACACTGTGCACAATTAATTTGCAACTGGTCCAGTGGGAATTGCTTATGAATAAACACGGATAGGATTAAACTGCACATGGAAGTGAAATGGAGATAATAAACATTCCCTATTATACAAAATTTTTGGCAACTAATGCTTGGCACTCATTATCTGATTTAGAATATTTATTTGAATATGTTATCGATAACAACAACATGAAAATATTATGTGTATTCCTTTGCTTACAACAACTTTGTTTCACTCAGGAATGCAGATGACTATTTGCTAAGAAAATAATATGATGAGTTTCATCCATTATACATAGCTCCTGGAAAGACAATAAATCCCCATGGACCAATGCCATCCCAACTACTCGTTCATCTACTACTTCTGCTTTTTTCCATCAATAATTTCTTCACTGCCAACCAAAAGTATGTGTGTCTGGGTGTGCATTTTCTGCTGAGCATATATATCACATGCATTCCTTAGTATTGCTTTTGCTAACATGATTTGACAGCTTGTGCTTTTAAGCAGGGTTGCAGGATGTACGTGCGTAGTGTGACATCCATCGTCTGTAGGCATGAACATTAAATTTCCCCCCACTCACACAACAGGATGGCTGCATTGTTTCACTCCTATTATTTTACTCCTGTTATTAAACAGATGGTCATATGACAATATAAATGAAGAATATATTTAATGTATTTGCGAAGGCTTTCACGGCCGGGATCGAATGGTTGTTGTGGGTTTTTCGGGCTCTTTGGCCGTGTTCTGAAGGTCGTTCTTCCTAACGTTTCGCCACTCTCTGTGGCCAGCATCTTCAGAGGACTGGATCAAACTGCATTAGACTGAGGGGCTAGTGTGGACGCCAGCATGAACATAGTCTGCAATCTCCATGCAATCACCTAATCCAAATAGAATTGTACAATAGGCTGTGAATCAAGCCACAGCAAAGCCAAATCACTCCGATTTGGTTCACCAGTGTAGTCACAGTCCGAACTGAGATAACTTTAAAAAACAAACAAACCAGGAATTATATCACAAAATCTGAAGAAGTGTAAAATCTATGGATAAATCTGTTCCAAACTGCATATTAGCCCAAGAAGTATATATCAGGTTGGTTTCCTTAAAAATGTGGACTGAACAAAATTCATGTGTAGTGTAATCTTCCATCCAGTTTCCAGCATGGTGTGTGTGGGAATGAGAGACTGAGACAGAACAGGTAGTGAAGGAGAGAAAAGGTGTTTGTAAATCAGACTCACTCTTAAGTGAAGCTGTGAGAGATGCTTTTTGCATTTGTTTTCCTCCTAGCCCTTCTCTAACTGGGTGTTAGATTAGGCATCCTTCAGTCTTGAGAGACTATGGTAATGTGCTTTGTATGGAGGACTTGGAACAGTGTCTAGTGTGGCTGAGAAGGCCAATTTGAGAGTGACAATCCCTTCCACACTGAAGACAAATACAATCTGTCCCCTGTCCAGCTCCCTGATTTTGCTGCTTTTGTGACTTCCTCTTTGCCTCAGCCTGCTGGGCAAGGGTCTCTTCAAATTGGGAGAGGCCATGATGCAGTGCCTGCCTCCAGGCTGAACGCTCAGATGTCAAGGTTTCCCATCTGTTGAGGTCGTTCCTAAGGCCTTCAGATTCCGCTTGCAGATATCCTTGTATCGCAGCTGTGGTTTCCTTCTGGGGTGCTTTCCCTGCACTAATTCTCCATACAGGAGATCTTTTGGAATCCGTCAGCCATTCTCACAACATGCCCAAGCCAATGTAGATGTTGCTGTTTCAGTAACGTATACATGCTAAAAATTTCAGCTCATTCTAGGACTACTCTATTTGGAACTTTGTCCTGCCAAGTGATACCAAAAATGTGTCGGAGACAACACATATGGAACATGTTCAGCTTCCTCTCCTGCCGTGTACAAAGGGTCCAAGATTCACTGCAGTACAGGAGTGTGCTCAGGACACAGGCTCTATAGACCTGGATCTTGGTATATGCCGTCAGCTTCTTATTAAGCCATACTCTCTTTGTGAGTCTAGAGAACATGGTAGCTGCTTTGCCAGTG